CACCAGCCAAGGCTAAAACATTTTTAACATGTAAGAAAAAAAGAAATGCAATTAAGAAGTTTTGATACAAACCACTGATTATTAAAATTCTTTCATCTGGGATTTTTTTTAGTGCCTTGGGAAAAATAACCTGCCCCAAACCAGCCTGTCAAACTCAGTGAATTAGTATCTAAAGGTAGCAAATCACTGCAGCTATTATCTGTACTGACAAGAGGTTTATCTTTCCCTGAAGTTTCCAGTCTTTCTCATCTTTGCACATGCTGTTCCCATTTTCCAAAAAGCCCTTCCTCGCAGTACTCCTCTGCCAGTCAGTCTCCAATTTATCCTCCATGATCTAGTTCAAACCTGACTTCATCTGGATGCACCACCATAACCACCAGCAGAACTGATCAATTCACTACTCCTTCCTTCAACTCTCACTGTACCTTAGACGTTTTCCCATTACAGCTCCTATCACATGATAGCACAATTATTTGTTTCCTTTTAAAATCTTTTAAAAGTAGTTGCTAACCTTTACAAACTTGAATTTCTGGCTTCTCCTGAAAATTTGTGCAGGATCTGACACAATGTAACGAAGTGCCCAGGGCATCTTTCCCAGGGCAGCATGTGGCCTCTAATTTGCTGTGCCCTCAGCACTCCCAGTTGCTTTGCTCGTATCTCATCTGCTTTGTGTGTGTTGGCCCTTCTAGGCATTTGAGTCCTAAACCCAGGACTAAATAAACACACAAAGAAACCCAGGCTTGATATCATAGATTGTGGCTCAAACAACTAACATTTATTTTCTCAGTTCAGGATGCAGGAAGTCCAAGGTCAGGAAGCCACCAGGGTTTGTTTCTGGCGATGGCCTTCTTTCTGGCTTGCTGCCTTCTCACAGTGCCCTCACCTGGTGGAGAGAGAAAGGAGAGAGGGGAGAGAGACAATTATTTATTTGTTTGTTTGTTTATTTTGAGACAATTATTTTTAAATGTCAGTCTTCTCTACTAACCCTCTGAGCTTTCTGAGGGAAAGGCCTGCCTCTTACTTGCCTTTGTCTTCCTGAAACCCAGCAGAACTGTTGCAGAGCAGGCCCTCAGTTGTTTGCCAGATGAACAACAGCAAATGCTGATGACAAGCTGAATGACATATGGGTTTGGGAAGCTCAAATCTGGGTCCCATTTAATGCACCACATATCTGGGACCGCTTAAAGATGGTCACCATTTGGGGGCAGCCTGGTGGTTGCTCACTATCTCTCGAGCAGATAGTTATAAAATAATTTTAATGATATCCTGAACCTCCAGTCTCTTCCCACTCTAATCCCTATTAACCACGGAGAAGTTTAAAAACTTTTTTTTCTTTATTGATTTTAGAGAGTTAGGAAGGGAGAGGGAGACAGCGCTAGAAACATCGATGAGAGAGAACAACAATTCGCAGCCTCCTGCATGCCCCCCATGGGGACTGGGCCCACAACCGGGGCATGTGCCCTGACCAGGAATCAAACCGATGACTTGGTGCACTGACTGATGCTCAACCACACCGGCTGGGCTACCCCAGAGTAATTTCTATAAAACATCACCTTCATCTTGTCATTCCCTCTGGCAAAATGCAGAGATTCCCTAGGACCCTTCAAATCAAATCCAAATCTTTAATCTTTCTTTAAAAAATATGTTTTTATTGATTTTTTAGAGAGGAAGGAAGAGGGATAGAAACATCGACCAGTGGGAGCACACCCCCCCCTATTGGGGATTGAACCCGAAACCCAGGCATGTGCCCTGACCAGGAATCGAACCGGGACCTCTCAGTCCATGGAACGATGCTCAATCCACTAAGCCACATCAGCTGGCTGGCCAAATATTTAATATTTACACCTAAAGTCCCCAAGCAAATCTAATCTTCACATGAGGCCCCCAAGGTAACTGCCTCACTTTAGGATTCCAAACAATCTCTCCATCATTTTATAATGTAAACTATACTAGATAGGGCTGGAATCTTTATCTAACCTCTGATTTATCTCAAGCAACAAGAACAAGGCCTGGCCTAGGGGAGAAGCTCAATAATTATGGAATCAGTGAATAAATTAACTATTTATTAGTGAATGAAAGAACACAAGATATAAAGCAACTTCCTCTCTAAGGAATTCTTTTGAGAGGAAAAATATTACTTTATACTGAGGTATATAAGATATTTATTCAGTTAATAAATACTTAATAAGCACCTCTTGTTCAGGAACTGTTCTAGGGACCAGAAATACAGTAAGCTTAGAATCAAATGAGGAACACAGTCATTAAATGTACAATGCCACAGTTAATTATGATCATTTTAAGTACTATGAAGGGTTAAGTATAGCTAGCTACAAGATGAGTAATAGGGAAACCTAACTGTGTGGCTGAAAAGTTTCCGGTAACAGTGCTGTTTATATACAAGCAGCAGTAATTCATGTGCCCCGACTCCCTGGGTTCAACTGCTGACTGAGATCCTGAGTAGGTTATTTAACCTCCTTTTCCACACTTACAAAGTGGCGCTAACAACAGTATCTACCTCATGAAGTTAAGTGAAGATTAAACGACTTAATACATGTAAACCACTAAGACCAATGATGGCAAACAGTATCTGCTCAATAAATGTTAGCTTTTATTATCACCATTTCAGCTGGATTCTGAAAGACAAGCTAGAAGGAAGGGAAGAAGGAGGGAAGAAACTCCAAGCAAAGAGCAACATGTACAAAAACCCAGAGATGTAAAGTTGCTTGGCCTTTGGTAGAACTGAAAGACCAATATTTCTTAGCATAGAAAGCTAAGGGAAAAGAGATACCATGAGACATGCGATGAGGAGTCTGAACTTTATCCTTGGAGTCAGAGGAAACTTGAAAGGTTTTTTTTTATCCTCACTCGAGGATATTTTTTTTCCATTGATGTGTGTGTGTGAGAGAGAGAGAGGAAGAGGAAGGGAGAGAGAAACATCAATGTGAGAGAGAAGCATTGATCAGTTGCCTGCTGTACGCACCCCAACCAGGGATCAAACTCACAATCTGGGTATGTGCCTGACCTGGAACTGAACCCGAGACCCTTCAGTGCATGGGACAATGCTCTAACCACTAAACCACAGTGGCCAGAGCAAAACTTGAAAGATTTTATAAAGGGGAATGAGAAGCTTAGACTTTAAATTTAAAAAAAAAATTTTTTTTGCACATCAACATGCAATTTTAAAAGTTTTCTGTGGCTACAGCATGGAGAACTGGTTAGAGGGAAGCCAAAATAGATGTCAGGAAACCAGAAAGGAAGTTACTCCAGTAATCTAGATCAGTTGCACAGAAGAGAGAAGGAAACTGGATGATTGAAGAAATAGAAGACAGAACCGAGACTTTCTGTATGTATATTGGGTCGAGGGGTACTAAACAATAAACAAATATTTGAGGAAGGAATGAATGAATTCCTGTGTTCCTTCCATATTGTTTTACTGCATGAAATGCCTTTTCTCTACTCCATTCTTCCAGGCACAGTTCCTTCCCATTTCCTCCACAAAACTCTGATCTTGCTCCCCTTCTTCCCAGGAGTGTTCTATAATTTTAGAGCTGAACATTCTTGAGAGATACATAGTAGTTGAAAGGACTTAGACATTACCTGAAGACAGAGATAATTTTTTAGTCAACTTTGTATCCCACTCACCCCATCTACCTAACACTTGTAGAGAATCATGAACTTACATTTTTCCTCTGACTGCATGAGTAGTACAATAATAACAGCCTATGCTACTATAAAGCTCTGTGACCCATAAAAGTTTATACAGCTATGGGAGCTTTCACAACCATTTTCTTTTTGGCTCTTCACAGAGCTCATAATATAGGTACTATAATAAAGGAAATAAGCTAAAAGCTAGAGTGCATGTGCAAGTGACATACGTTAAAGGAAGTGGCAGTGCTACAATTTGAACCAAGATCTCCTGGTTCCAAATGGAAGGCTCTATTACCCTTCATGGACAGTAAATACAGGGTGGGGCAAAAGGAGGTTTACAGCTGTGAGTATATGAAACTCTGAGTTTATTCTCAGAGTTTATTTACAGTTATGAGCAACTGTAAACCTACTTTTGCCCCATCCTGTATTCATATGTACTCAAGAAGGCTTAATTCTTCGAGGCAGCTAAGTGCCACTTCTGGGAATTCTTCCCAGTTTCAGTTATTAATTAATTTGTTAAAAAATGTTTACTGGGCACCTAGTACGTGCCAGACATGGCACCTAGTGTTAGGGGTAGGGTATAGCTTGCCCTCAGTCTAGTTCAGGGAGCCTGCCAAACAGGGAAACCAATGTATAAACGATACAAGTGGTTAAGCGTTATAAAGAAAATAGAAAGGGAAATAGGAGAAAATGTGTGTCCTCTGGTCAGGGAAAACCTCTCAGAAAAGTGAGACCCGAGCTTGGTCTGCAAGAGGCGCTTAACGAAAGACATTTCCCCACCAACCAAATTTGGGCCAAGTCGACAAAAGGAAAAAGCCAACTTATTTAGTTCGCACAGGGGCCGCTTCCAGGGTTCCGACCTTTGCCACCAGACCAGACCGTAACTGGCAATGGACAGTTCCCGACCTAGTCAGGCCGCCACCACTGGAGGGCGCGGCAGGTCCTCCCAGCACCCAGGAGGCGCCCTGGCCCCAGGCACTACCAAATTGACGTCTGGCACCTACCGCGTTAGGGCCCCGAAGCAGGAGGTACAGACAGAGGACAGGGGAGCCGCTGGGGAATAGAAAGGGGTCACTAAGTCCTCAAAGAAAGGACGTCCTCAAGATCACAAACCCTACCACTAGCAGAAGCACTCGCTCCCTCGGGGTAGCCCGCTTCCGGCGCCTTTAAACTAGAAAGTACTGGCTGCGTCCAATCTCAGCGCTTCTCCCGCACTGAGTCTCGATCGACCGTTCCGTGCCGGGTTAGCGCGAGGCAAGCGGTCTACGGTTACCAATCAGCTCTCAGGAAAGGCGCATGCGTCGTCAAACGAACGCGACGTACGAAGAACCGTGACCTGAAGAAGACCTCTTCTCCCCCTCCCTGGCTGAAAAGATGGCGCTCTCTAGGGTGTGCTGGGCCCGGACTGCTCGGTGGGGTTCGGTGGTCACCCATGGACCTTATGTCACCCGGAGGCTGCAACTTGTTCGCTCTGGACTGACCTGGGAGGCCCCTCGGTGAGGGACCTGGAGAAAGAAAAGCATTTTTGATGTACAGGCCCTTTCCATGTCTCATCCTTGCTTGCATGCTTTCTCTTGGTTGTCAGGGTTCCACGCCCTGGCGGTGGGGTTTTTATTCTTTTGCTCAGAAATCGCACCCCGATCGATCCCCGCTTGTGACCTGGCTTCTTGACTTTCTCAACTCTGAGTGCCCCGTATTGTCTGAATTCCCAGCGTATCGTGAGTTCATCTTTCAGCCTCCCTTTTCCGGCTCAGGTTTCCCCGGTATTTACCTCGGTCCCACCTGTCTGGCTTGATCCTGCCGCCCTGGCCTCAGGCCTTGCGCTCTCTCCAGACTTTTATCACTCCCCGTTATCCTTTCCTGCCTAGCCTTTCGTTTGCCTTTTTTTTTTTTTTTTTTTTTTTAGTATGATTGCATATCTTCTCCTGATCTCAAGATCTTCTTTGTATTTCAGAGGTTTCAGGTCTTAACATACATTCTCTGAGGTCTGTTTTTTTTGTTTGTTTTTTTTACATTAGGGACGCCAAGTGTGAAGGGGCTTTTTGGACTGATTCCCAGATAGTCTCTTTGATCCTCCTTGTAGGTCTTCAAAGCTTCACCTTTCTCCAAAGCCAGATGTGAAAAGCATAATGTCTTATGTGGTGACGAAGACAAAAGTGATTAATGGGAAATACCACCGTTTTTTGGATCGTCATTTCCCCCGCTTCTATGTTCTGTACACAACCTTCATGAAAGGTAAAAACAAAACTGAAATAGATATCACTAGAATCAGCTCTTTAGCAATGTCAGAGGGTTAGACTAAGTGCGATAATTTGCAGGTTTTGCTATGGGATAGTGAGCAGGGATGTCTTGTGTTTCATAAATGCTTGAGTATTAACCTAAATTTTATTAGTTAGCATTTCTTGAGGACGTTTCTAGAAAGGAATTATTAGAAACAACTTCTAACAATACCCAGAGGGAATATAGGTACTTACACACTTTTCTTAACCATACTTGACTATAGTAGAAATTCTTTGTCATGCACAAGGGTAGGGATCTATGGCTGTACAGACCTGCCCTGTGATTATCAGCTGACTTGGCTCATAAGAAAATGGTTTAATGCTTGTCATAAATCTACCCTAGGTAGCATGTTGTGGAAATAGCACTACAATATTTGGTTTCTGGATGTTTTGGTTCAAATCAGAGCTCTGTTACTGGAAGATGGTAGCAGTGGTTCTCAGCCTGTGGGTCGCGACCCCTTTGGAATCAAACACATATTTCCGATGGTCTTAGGAACCGAGACACCGCTGCTCTATCCGTCTCCAGGCGAGTCTGCCCACATGCAGATACACTCACATACAGCATGAGGAACTGTATTAAAGGGTCTGGCATTAGGAAGGTTGAGAACCATTGGATAGTCAGATGGCCACTCTGGAGCCCTAGTGCCTGGGTTCAAATCCCAGCTTGTCACTGGCTGTGTGATTGGACTAGTTACTTAACCTCCTTGTCCTTTGATTTTCTTATCTGTAAATTGGGGATAATAATGGAACCTACCTGATGACCTTATGGTTGTGAAGATTAAATTAATACATGTAAAGTATTTAAAACCTGATTCATAGTAAGTGCTCAATAAGTGTAGCTATAACTGTTACTATATACTTTTATCACAGTACCAATTACAATAAACTACCACATTGTCAGCTCTATAAATTATCATAATTATTACCAGCTTTGTGGACTTGGAAATTACTTATCCTTATTTGTAAAGTGGCGATAAGAATGGCTGCTTTGTCTGCTCCCATTTTATAACTAGGATCAAATAGAAAAGGGTCTGAAAGCATTTTGGTTGGTTTGTTTTTAAGCCTTTTGTTATGGAAAATTTTAAACATACACAAGTAGAGAAAATAATATAATGAGCTTCCATGTACTCAACCTCACTTCAGCAATTAATTCACGGCCCCCAATCTCATTTCATTTCTACATGTGCCTTTTCCTATATTGTTTTGTAGCCAACCTAGATGTTACATCATTTCATTCATAAACAAGAAGGTATTTTGAAAAACTAAAGCTCTAGATAAATGTAAGAATTATAGAATGAAGAGAAAAATGCAATCATAGAAATATGTTGAATTACAGTAATTATAAAAGTGTTCTAGAAAGGAGATAAATTAATATCTGGTTGGGGAGTACATAGGGTTGATTGAGCAAGACTTCCTGGTTAGGGAGCTTTGAATTTTTGTTTTTAATTTTTTTAATCCTCACCCGAGGATATGTTTTTATTTATTTTTCAGAGAGAGAGAGAAACATTGATTGGTTGCCTCATGTATTCACTCTGACCAGTGATTGAACTGCAACCTAGGTATGTGCCCTGACTGGGAATCAAATCCACAATCTTTTGGTGTACGGGATGATGCTCCAACAATTTTTATTTTTTTAATTTATCTATTTTTATTTATTTAATTTTTAATTCACCCGAGGATATTTTTCCATTGATTTTCTAGATAGAGTGGAAGGGAGGGAGGGAAAGAGCGAAACATTGATGTAGAGAAACACATCGATTAAGTTGCCTCCCACATGACCAGGGCCAGGGATCAAACCTGCAACCCAAGTACGTGCCCTTGACCAAGAATCGAAACCGCCAACCTTCAGTCCACAGGCGGACGCTCTAACCACTGAGCAACCTGCCAGGGCACAATTATTTATTTATTCCTGTATTCATTTATTTTTTTATTTTTTTGGTATGTGCCCCTAGCCGCTAGGGCCTAGGGTCTCTCTGGACTGCAGGCCGATGCTCCTACCGCTGAGCCAAACCAGCCAGGGTCACAATTTTTATTTTAAAAGGGGAATGAGTAATGAACCAGAAAAGGGAGACCATTCCATAGTAGGTCACAGAAGGCCCACTTGGCTAGAAGAGAAGTGATGTGCTGTGGGCAAAAAGGATGAGAAAAGAGATACAAGGTGGCCTCACAAGAGTTTCAAGTGATCTAGATGGAAGCTTTGATGTAGAGTAGTGCTGGGGAGGGACAAGTGTGTATATTGTGGGTGGACTTGGAATAGGAAGCTAACGGTAAAATTCAAACTGGGGTAACATCACACTCTGTCCTCTACTTTAATGAGGCAGGATTGCAGATGTTATGGGCTGATGCCAAAAAGGCTAGAAGAATAAAGAGAGAGATGTGGAAGCACAATGTAAAGTTTCATCAACTTTCATACCGGGAGATGGAGCATTTGAGACAGGTATGGGCCAGGGACAGATCCAGAAGTTCATGGTGAGGTAATTGAAGTTCACCAAGATCTCAAGTTTTTCCTTTTCTGTTTTGTTCACCACTGATAAAGCTTTTGCCCTTTGCCATGTGATTAAAGTATTGAACTAAGTGAGAGCATCAGACTATTTGTCAGAATTGGATTCTTTCAAAGTTGTAGCCCTCCATAGCAGAGCTCCATAGAATTTCAGGCACACTTCCTGAATAAAAGTTGTAAATGCTAAAATTCAGTTGTTTCTGAACAAATAAAAATCTGACAGGATCCAAAAGGCAGCAGGAAAGTAATACTTGGTGGTGACTTGACAAAAGTTTTGAAGCCAAGAGTAAGATCTTATCTAGGACCCTTTCTGCAGATCAGGAAGAATTCACTGAGGGTTTGGTATGATGTCAGGCCCTGTACTTGACAATATTTGGGATACAAAAGTAAAATCAGGGCTTCTGTCCTCAAGGAACATATCAACTACAGGTAGATAGAAATAACCTTGATCCTTTGCTGGGCTGTAGTAGTTTACTGCACAGTGGGGTGGGAGGGATTGTCCATTGTGTTAAGAATGCGGGTTAAAACTGCATCTGTGTTTATTTCTGCTTAGTTCCGTCGAGATGTCACCAAGTGTCTCTTCCTAGGTATTATTTCCATTCCACCCTTTGCCAACTACCTGGTCTTCTTGCTAATGTGAGTACAGACTTCTGTCTCCCCAACATATTGAAAATACATAGACGTTTTAAAATTACAAATTATTTTAAGAAGAACTTTCCATTTTAGAAGCTAGGTAGAAGTTGTCAAACTTCCTGCTCTAATCTTTTCATTAGCCCAAGGTTCATTAAAGTTCTCAGTAACACTTAGATTACTAAAACAGCTGTAGGTGTAGGTGGTCTACTCTCTCTATTTCTTAGCTGCCCCTATATGATGTGAAATAAGATAGTGACCTTTTTCATTATCCCTAGATGCAGTAACCCACTCCCTGAGAGGCATAGCAATTTGGGACAATATTTTATTCTTCAGGAGAGAAATGCATTTCATATTTTGATAACATAAATCTTTATTACTTTACTTTATATCCAAAATGACACTTTTAAACTGTGACTTTGCATGTTGTTCTAGTTATCTGTTGCTTTTTAACAACTTTAAAGCTTAATAGCTTAAAACAAGCACCATTTTTATGATTTGGTGGGTCAGGAATTTGGGTAGGGTTTAGGTGGGTGATGGATAATTCTCTTCCACGTGGTGTTGACAGAGGTAGCTGGTGAATGGACTAGTCTGGATGGTTTGAGGTCACTCTAATGTCTGATGTCTTAGCAGGGATAGCTGAAAAACAGACTGTCAACCAGAGTGCCTACAAGTGGCCTCTTTAAAATGGTGACCTCAGGGTAGTGGGACTTCTCACTCAGGACTGTAAGAGCGAGTATACAGCAAATAAGAATCTAAATGGCCTTTTATAACCTGGCCTTGGAGTTCACAGGCTTGCTTCTGCTCTCTTCTATTGGTTGAGTCAGTTACCCAGATTTTTAAAAAAGGGACTCTAGCCCTGGCCAGTTTGGCTCAGCAGTTGAGCGTCGGCCTGTGGGCCAGAGAGTCCCGGGTTCGGTTCCCGCTAGGGGCATGTACCACAAAAAAAAAAAGGGACTCTATATAGACCTCACTTCTCATTAAGAGGAGTGCCAGAGAATTTGTGGCCATGTTTTAAACCCACCACATAAGTAGAGAAATGAATTAAAAGCAAATTTGCCATTTCCATTTTGTATACACATAAGGGCTGAGTTACTGTTTGAGGTTGTCAACATCACATACAGTGCCCAGCTCTGTAACTCTGTCCAAAATATGTTCTTCACTTGCTTTAGTTCAAAAGGAGTCATTTTATCTGATTGCTGCATGCATGGCTTTTCCACTAGTGCTTCCTTTCACAGAACTTCAGTAATGTTGCTTGAAATTGTGCTTCAGTGCATTTTTAAACCTTGGTCTGAGACTCACTTGCAAAAAAAGAAGTGTGATAGGGAAACAGTGTCTCCATCTCTTTCTGTTATTCATGTCTGCCAAACCTTTTCTTCACTCACTCTGAAAGATGCCAGTTTCAGCAAGTGACTTTGTTATTCCTTTTCCTTTCAGGTACCTGTTTCCTAGGCAACTACTGATCAAACATTTCTGGACCCCAAAGCAACAAATTGATTTCTTAGATATCTATCATGCTATCCGGAAACACTCCCACCCAGAAATCCTTTGTTATTTAGAAAAAAGTATCCCTCTCATTTCTGATGCGGGACTCCGGTGGCATATGACAGAGCTATGCACCAAGGTATTCCTCCAGTTAACCCTTGTTCCCAACTAGGAATCTTTTTAGGTCCAGTTTGCATGAAAACCAGGTAAGAGGACAAGTCAGGACCTTGCTAACATCTGCCAATCTCTTCTCCCAAGATACAGCGTGGCACCCACCCAGCAATACATGATATCCTTGCTCTGAGAGAGTGTTTCTCTAACCATCCTCTGGGCATGAACCAACTCCATGCTTTGCAAACCGTGAGTAGTCTGATGCTTTCTCTTTTCCACAGCTTCACCTTGCTTCAGGTCTTGGCTTGCAGTAATACTGTGTTGACTTTCTCCTCCTATGTTCTATCACAGAAAGCCTTGAGTCGAGCCATGCTTCTCACACCTTACCTGCCTTCTTTCGTGTTGAGACACCGTTTAAAGACTCATACCACTGTGATTCACCAACTGGACAAGGCTTTGGCAAAGCTGGGGATTAACCAGCTGACTGCTCAGGAAGTGAAATCGGTAAGAGCTTGATTGCAATATCAACCCTCAATCCTTGGTGGACTTTTGAGTTCACAGGGCTGGAAGCTTACAGAGAGCTTGTTGTCTTGCTTGTTATAGCAAAATCCAAGCTCTTTATTCTCTCACCTCATTTCTAGGTCTTTTTCCTCAGTGAACTTAACTACTGCGAAAGAATTGCCCAGTCATTTTGGTTTAAGTTTCTTTTCTTCTGGTCCTTCAAAAATCAAGGATATTATACTTTAGACCTACTCTTTTAGGTTATATAGGCCTCTGCTTGTCATCTTAGTTCAAATTGCAATGGAGAAAGGTTTCTTGGGATGAGGTTGTAACTTATTTAAAGGAGATCTAGGATTATTTGTGGGTTTATACTTCCTTGGCATACTTGCTCTGTGATTGTTAAGGACCATTTCTCTTCTGAGTGTTACAGGCTTGTTATCTTCGTGGCTTGAATTCTACCCTTATTGCTGAAGAGAGGTGTCGAACTTGGCTGGCAGAATGGCTGAAGATTTCCTGCAGCCTGAAAGGTTAGACAAATCCCTGTGGCATAATCAAAATGCAAGTCATTTTTGTATTTTATTCTAAGATTATTTTGGAGTTAATTATTGAGTACTGTGAGACCCTTAGCTAACTTATGTATCTAATTGAAAGGCACAAACTCATTAGCCTAAAGGGGGCTAAGCAGATAATGAAATAGACCATGCAAGTTGAGGGAGTGAGTAGTGGGGATTGTGGGAGCATGAGCACGAGTGAATGCTTGTCTGTAGCAGTTTCTCTACCTCAGCACTACTGATGCTTTATCATGAAGCTGTCTCATGCATTATAGGGTGTTTAGCAGTATCCCTGGCCTCTTAACCTATTAGATGCTGTCATACCCCTTCGCTCCAGTTCTGACAATCGAAAATATCTCCAGACATTGCCAAGTGTCCAGGTGGGAGGGGAAAGCAGAACTGTTCCAGTTCAGAAGCACTAGTCTAAAGGTATTCAAATTAAAAACAAAACCACTCAACTGGCTAAATAAAAAGTATCTAAGAGTGGGTGTTGTTAGGCTGGTGGGTCTTCTGTTTGGAATCTTTGGCTAGGCCTTGATTTTTTTTTTTTTTGAGAGAGAGAGGAAGGCAAGAAAGATAGAAACATCAATGTGAGAGAAACACCAGTTGGCTGCCTCCTGCACGCTGTCTACAGGAGATGGAGCCCCCAACCCAGGTACTGACCTGGAACCGAACTAGGACCTCTCAGTCTGTGGGACGATGCTCAATCCACTGAGCCACACTGGCCAGGCTAGGCCTTGATGTTTTTTAAGCCTGTGAATATGAGGGTAGGCCTGCTGATCTTAAAGCTGAGAAATGTCCCCAGAGCACCAACTTCTACCAGAAGAATCCCAAGGGTGACAGTGTTGTTTAGCAGTGTTAACTCTTCTATTTTCTACTGCTCTCAGGAGTCAGGGAGTGAGGATAAGTAGATGAGTATATGGCAGAAGGAAAGCATACATGCAGGGACTGGAGCGAAGCAGGGGAACTTGAGAACAGCAGCCCCTTAATGTCATACCTCCCTGCACTTGGCTTCCCCCCTCGTTTCAAGACCTGTAAACCAAGGCAGTTAGAAGGCAGACTGTTCCCTGGCCAAACTATTAACACTGATGGTGTTTTCAGAAGCTGAGCTGTCCCTTTTACTACACAATGTGGTCCTGCTTTCCATCAACTACATTGGGACAAGGCGCTGAGTGAACATGGAGCAGATGGCATTGTCCTGCCATCACAGTACAGCAGCGTGGGACCAAACAGCACTTGTCAGCAGAATCTGTTCGCATTGTTTGATGTGTGAGGCAGAAAAGCAGGTGCCACAGGCTTCAGTGTGGTACCCATGTGGGGGTTTGAACTGAAACAAACCCTCTTTCCAGAGGTGGCCCACCTGAGGTATCATCCAGCTTCCTTGGAATTAGCTGGAACTAGAAGCAGCCACTGTACTGGGCTTTTACTGTGACGTGTTAAGTTCAGATCCTGAGAAGTGCTTTTGCAGGTGACAATCTTCATTTGGCCTGGAACTTACCCACTGCCGTCTTCTTTTGAGCTGTATTTTTATTAAAGCCAGTTTTCTGGCTGGTGAGGGGAACAGCACTACTTAAACTGGAGCACTTACATGCATGTGTTTCGATGCTCCCCTTAACCCTGAGATGACCAAAAATAGGGATTTTTTTTGTCCCCCTCACTGGGCTAACTAACCTCTTTCCTCTTCAAATCCTTTTACCACCTTTATTTTTTTTCTCTCCTTTCTTTAGTGAATAATTTATGGGAACATTCTAATGAAAAAGATAAAAGGAAATAACAAGTGCTTCTTGATCCCTTACCCAGTGTTTACAGCCTTCACACTCTTGTCTTAATTTTTGGGCTGTGCTACAACCCCTGTGGACAAACTCTTTGCTGCCAACACTGGTTGCAGCCATCCAACTGTATTGACAGTAGCTGCCTTTGAGCCATGGATCAAACCTGTATGGTACTAATTACTGTCCAGCCCAGGAGACTGGGAGAGATCTGCATCAAGATAGTAAGCTTGGTTTAACTTTTGTCTTTGTATGTACATCAGTGACCTGTAGTATCTTAATGTAAATACATTAAGCATGGTTTTTAAACCCAAGTAGACTGTCTGAAATCAATTGCTGGAAATGAATCCTGATGCATACTCTAATCATTTTGCTAAGGCTATTGTACAAGACTGTCGTAACCTAACTAATGGAAAGATAATTGTTTGGAGTAGAACTTTTTTTTGGTACGTGCCCCTAGTGGGAACCGAACCCAGAACTCTCTGGTCCGTAGGCCGACGCTCCAACCGCTGAGCCAAACCGGCCAGGGCTGGACTAGAACTTTCTGATGATATGGAAGTTATGAAGGAACTGATTAGAAGTTGATCCTCTTTTTGGACTTTAAGTGGAAACTAGGAAGAAAACTTCACATATAGATACAGAGAGGAAGTAATGCAATTAGAAGATGGGCCCCAAGAGTAGGGACTAGACAGGGAGAAACCCCAGCAGGGCAGGACCAAGGCTGTTTCAGCTGATGAGGTGCTAAGTGCGCACACTGCAAGGTAAGCTATTGATGCTCCAAAGAGAACTTTGTAATTTTCCACCATGAAACATTTATGTGGTTAACATCAATTCCTAACTGACCTAATTAATTTTATATACAAGGCTAGAGAAACATCCTTTTTCTAACAAGTAACTAGATTGTGCCCTGCCAAGATAAAGAATAACACACCAGGATGTGAGGGCGATCTGGCTGCGACATCTGTCACCCCATTGATTGCCAGGGTTGATTTGGCTGATCTGGCTAGCTGGGCGGGTGTCCCCCTCCTCCTCAACTGATCCATGTTCGTCCCTCCCGAAGCTGGGCGCTTGGTCGAAGAGGACCTTCTCCCCAGAGGAGAGGACCGGTCTTCGGTCAAGGGTATACCCGTACCTGCGCTCCCCTGCTAGAACCTCCAAACCAGCTCTCAAAGAATAACACACCACTCTTTTGAGTATTTCTTTAATATTACATTTAAATATTCTCTTTAAATACAGCATTATCACAATGTAAAGGACCTAAAAGGAAAAAAAAAAAAATGTTTTCAGAGGACCAGACAAGCTTTGGATTCACATTGAAAATACTACCTGTATATAGTGAGAAAGGAAATTTGAAAATAATGAGTTGCAGTAAGTCATTTATCTAGGCCTGGACTAAGCGGGATTGAAGCTGTCTGCTTCTGTGAGGCCTAGTTTTTCTAGCAACCATGACCTCTAATTGTGTCCAACTCAGGTAGCACCAAAAATGAGATGTACTAGGTTGTAGAAAAGGCCCTTTGCTTAACACCAGTTAATGCTAAATGTTAAAATTTAGCACTTAAAAGTTTGGGATTAGTGTGAGTCAGAATTGTCAAGTTAGTGAAGGATTTAGATTAAGAAACTAGTTTCTTCAGAAAAATTATCTTGGGAGTTGACAATAAGTTTAATAATTAGATTAAAATTATTGGTTTGATCCCAAAGGCTAATGTGTCTCTTATTGAGCAAATGGAGTCACTTAAGAGATGAGGAATCCTTCCTAAGGAGAGAATGTATAGAGCTCACCCTTCCCTTCCAACACAAACTTTCAGAAAGATTCTTCTCCAGTCTTGTATTTGACGGGACTGGTGTAAGGTGGTGGAGTGCGGTTCAGTTTGGGATAGCATCTATATTTCAGGTACCTAAGAAGCACAACTCTGTCTTGTGAGGTTAGAGGATGGGGAGCGTTAAGGACCTCTATACTTAAGAACTCTCCTCCAAACCCTGCAAAAAACGGGAACGGGAAGCAGAATGGGTTAAATGATGTATCTGTGTTAAGTACAAGGCCTAACAGGCTCAGTTTAGCAATTTTACAGGTGAAATGCTGCTGACATACTGAAGGTTGCTTTAAGACAGACACCAAGACCTTAATATCCCACAAGAAAAGACTTTATGAGCAATAAGTAGGAACAGTTATCTCCCCCACCAAAAAGTTTTTCACTTTGTTCTTCCCTGATTAATAAACCATACCAGAAGTGAAGCAAGGTGTAAAGGATGTTAGTGTTTTGCCTCCCTAGTCTCCATTTTAAAACAAAGATAACTTTGCCAGTGAATTCCATGGTGTTCAATGGAGCACATCTGGGAACATAAGCGGGATATGAGGGGAATAGGAATGGCATCTCCAAATAGAAGTAAGAACTGAATTTGAGCCCCACTCTACAGTACTCAAAGCTTATCATCAGATCCTGAATTCTTTGGAACCTGGGAGTTGCATGTAGCATTTAAGAATTGGCTTGGCTTCTAATTTTTATATATCAAGATGGAGGCGTCTAATAAATACTTGCAATTCTTGAGGATGAACTGGAATAGTATAAGAACTCCAACCCTGTATATCCAGGGACCACACCAGGGTAGATACAGGGGGAAAAAAACCCACTGGTGACCTTAGATTGCCACATCTTATATTCCTTTAAAGCTCAAATCTCCCAAAGTTGGGGGGGGGGGGGGACCTGGGTGAAAGCAAGCATAGCACAAAGTCATCTATCCAGACAGCAGCCTGTTCCTGCTGCCTCCTTTGGACACAGTTAACACTCATATGTCTCCTATGGGACATGTGAGCTCAGCCTGTAGCTGCCTGACAGAGCTAGTGTTAGACACACACAGAAGACACAGGCTTATACCACACCCCCAGCCAATCTAGCTCTTTCGTCAAAGGAAGGACAGGGGGGAGGGGGAAGACAAGTTAAATTCTAGTACCTAAGAACATAAGAAACAATTCAAGTTACAGACCAGGAATCCCCACTGTGGGGAACAGGTCAGAGAACACCAAACGTGTCAAATATTAACTTATTTACCAAATGGGGGGCCGGGGAAGGCAGGTTACATTTTTATAAATCCTGCAAATTTTGTACAGAAGCAGAGACCCTTCTAAACCCCTCCTTTCCAGGAGACATTTCCAACTATATTATGTTACACCAAAATGGGATATCAGAGTAACCACTGAGGAAAATGAGCTTGTATCCCGCCTGGAGCTCAGAAGAGAAGGGGCTTTGCCACGCTGTTCAAATTATGGATTCTGATCCCTACAAAAAGAATAGCTGCTTGAGTTACCTAGTTTCTCCTGTGAGATCCTAGTTCTTTGTTCCAATGGCCCAGAAAGCTCAGTATTCAGCACTATGCAGCCTCCTCTGCCCCAAGACTATCCCGATAGAACAAGCTGGAGCTGGTCTCCTTGCTTCTGTGTACCCTTTAAAAAATACTTGTACAAACAATCTTTTCCCACCTGTTCCCCAAATACCCCAATAAAATAACATGGGAGCAGCAGCTGCTTCTACAGTTTTGTTCTGAAATGGTATTAGATAAAATAAGGGAATAAATAGAGAGTGGGTAAGAGGCAGAATCTCCATCCCTGTGTCACACTGCCAGAGGGAGTTCCAGAGACTCTTCAGGGGGCCGGTCCTCACTGGGCTGTGAGGTTTTCTCCACCACACAGCCCTCTTCACTGTCCGTGCTGAAGGGGAGGTTTGAGGGGGACCATGAGGGGCGGAAGTCTTCATTCTCCGGCTCTTGGGGGTTACAATCTTCGGGCACTAATGCTTCTAGAGTGGATGCTTTCCCTACCTCTGATTTGCAGAGGGCAGCTGGGTCTGTGGGGCTACAAGCCACCAGTGAGGTAACAGGGAGAGAGAAGACACTGAGATCCTTCTCCTTGGGGAAAGAGGGTGGGACTTCTCCTGTACTAGGCTCTCCTTTCACCCCCAGGACTGGCCTCTGCTCCACCTGATAATAGACCAGGGGCCCACTGTTCAAGAAGGATGGGTTGGTCACTGCTGAAGCAGTTGGGTGCTCTGAGTTCTCGGCAAAACATAGGACAGAGGAGCCTGGGGTCAGCTGAGCCTGGATGAGAATGGGGGCTGTAAGCCCTGGGCACAGCTCTTCGGGAACGGCCAGGGGCTCCTCCAGGATACACACGCCCAGGCTCTCTATGCTGGAGTCCAGGCTGGCACTAGAGCCGCTGGAGTCTTCCTCTGCCTTGAGCCGCTCCAGTTCCTCCGCACTCTGTAGGTGCATCACTGCCGTCTCATTCTCAGCAATGAACTCCTGGAAGTCTTGTGTCTCAGAGCCCTGGGCTCCTGTCAGGCTGCAGCTGGCAGTGGGTGAGGGCTCTTCGTCTGGGGCGGGTGGGCGGCTCACTTGCCGCTTGCTCTCCAGCTCCAGCTTCATGATGGTGTGGAGGTAATGAGTCCGGACCCGGATTGGATTAAATTCAATGCGCCCAGCCATGTTCCCACAGCCATCCCGGGAGCAGCCACATGGAAAGGACATGCGATCCACCTGAGGAAGGGACAAGGAGGTTGAGGCAAGAGGAGATGAACAGATTTAACAATAGGGACATGAGACATTAGTTGGCGAAAACAAGCAGGCGGGATTTGTGGTCTTACAAGAAGAGACACAGCCAATTCAAAACAACGTGCAGTGTGCGCTAATAGCACCGAATGGTAGTTATCAGACCACTTGCGTTTCCAGTGCAGCCTCGTTTCTCTCTCTAGGGCTTTGCTTTCTTTTCTAAACAAAAAGTAGACAAAAATCATATCAAAGGGCCCTCCCAAATTCAGAAGTCCAGAGATGCCTCTCTGAATGCCAACACTGCTTAGAGCAGAAGAAATTCATGTTCCTCAGAATTTCCCAGAACTTAACTGCTTTACTGAGAAAACAAAAGGCTGGGGCCTAAGCCTGTCCTCTGCAATGATAGGCATGGCAAAGGGAGCAGAAGTCCCAGCTAGTTCAAAGAAATACATTCTGGGGAAACTAAGCAAAAGGGCCTTAGTTTGCTAAGGTGCTATCATTATATAGGTTCAAACAAAGTAACAGCCATCTTTTCACTACTGGCTTCATTTTCCATGATGGTTGACCAGTTTAATTCTGAAGTAGTTACCAAGACAACTAACTTACAGAGCAAGGATATCTGGAAAGGAGATGGCTTTCTACTTTTTCTCCCTTCTGGATCCCCAAGGGGAGGATATAGCAAAAACAAAATAAAAAACACAAGCAAGCTGGTCTGTACAAATACACAATGTCTTGATGTCAACTTAAAGAACTCTCGCCCAGCAGGTGTGGCTCAGTTGGTTGAGAATAGACCTGTGCACTAGGAGGTCATGGGTTCAATTCCAGATCAGGGTACATGCCTGGGTTGTGGGCTCAATTCCCAGAAAGGGGTGTGCAGGAGGTAGCCAATCAATGTTTCTCTCTCACTGATGTTTCTATCTCTCCCTCTCCTTTCCTCTTTCTGAAATCAATTAAAAAAAAAAAAAAAAGCCCTGGCCAGTTTGGCTCAGCGGTTAGGGCATCAGCCTGCGGTCCAGAGAGACCCAGGGTTCCCGCTAAGGGCGTGTACCTTGATTGCAGTTTGTCCCCGGCCCTGGTTGGTTGTGTGGGTGGCAGCCACTCGATGTGTCTCTTTCACATTGATGTTTCTCTTTCTCTCTTCCTCTCTCTCCCTCTCTATCTGAACAAAAAATGGAAAAATGTCCTCGGGTGAGGATAAAAAAAAAGAACTCTCCATTTCAGTTCTTAGGAACAGTGTAATTATCAGAACTGTTCTCAGATCTGTGGATAACAGACTGATTCATTGTGGGACTTCAGTCTGAAAAACAGTATTTATCTAGATCCACTACAACTATTTGATACCTATCCAAAAATAAGAAAAAAGGTTGGTCAGGAGAAATTCAACTCAGCATCCATATACAAGTTCCATATACATTCTTTGGGATGGTACTGCTGTTTGGTGTCTTCCAAATTGTCAGAGGGTCAACTGGGGGATGATGCTTTCTATCTTTTAGGATGTTATGAATTTAAGCTCTTCTAGACCAGATGTGATCCCGAATGACAGGATCCAAGAACTATTTTTGAATTTCATAAAACTGGAGTAGAGGTACTGTGCGCATAATGTTTGCCAGATAAAATCTAAAGGCCTACCTCCTTTTTCTGCTTCCTTTTATTTCAGGGAACCAGTAAATATTTAGGGGATGGCTACTAAGTGTTAAAACTTAACCCCTGTTCCTCCATTTGCTGACAACTGCTTATCACCCCCGAAGTACAAAACACAAGCAAAATAACAGGTATCTCCACAGCCTGAATCCTGACCTGCTAGTTTTCTTGGCTGGTGGAGGAGGCTTATGGAACTGGGGAGTGTTCATTCCTGGGGAATCCATCCTTTGATGGGCAGCCTCCCAGATTCACTGGCACCCACTCCACACCCACGACTGACCTGGCATTTAATCCCAGCTTGGCTACAAGCACACGCTTCTGGGTCACAATACAGTCGACAGTCACAACCACACTCTTCCCGTGACAGGCGGATGGCTCGAAGCTCTTGCTTCTCTTCAGCATCAATGCGGTGGACCCCAGACGCCCTCAGCAGGGCCCGTCGCCGTTTGGTGGGCAGAGGCTGCAGGAAGAAGTAATCATCCACTTCCACATTTTCCACATCAATATCTTCATCAGAAACATCATCCAGTGTCAGGCCATCAGCCTCCACCGACTCCACTGTCCCATTCTTGGTCAGCTGCCAAGGGACAGGAAGGAAAGGTTAGCCTCTAGAGCGTTATCAGCATGAGCCTGCTCACAGGGAGCCTCTACAGTAGCATAGTCCAACAACTTTCTACAATAAGGGCAACACCCATGCTGTCTAATACAGTAGCCACCAGAACATGTGGCTTCTGAGCACTGTCAATGTAGCTAGTGCAACTGAGAAACTGAATTTTAAATTGTATTGAAATACAAATAGCTGCATGTGGCTACCATACTGGATAGTGTGGGTCAAGAGACTAAATCAGCCCTGGCCGGCGTGGTTCAGTTGGTTGGAGTATTGTCTTGCACACCAAAAGGTGGCAGGGTCGATCCTGGTCAGGGAACATACATATCCAGGCTGTGGGTGCAGGAGGCAACTGACCAATGTCCACCCACCCCCCGTACTTCCTCTCTCTATGATCAATAAAATTAAAGAGAGAGAGAGGGAGGGGGAGAGAGAGAGAGAATAGCCCAGTTGGTGTGGCTCAGTGGTTGAGTGTCGACTCATGCACCAAGAGGTTGCCAGTTCAATTCCTAGTCAGGGCACATGACCAGGCTGTGGGCCTGATCCCCAGTGGGGGGCCTGCAGGAGACAGCCAATCAATGTTCTTTTATTTATTTGACTTCCCATCAGCGTTATTACAGAACCTCTTTTTATGTATATAATCTAAATTTTTAAAGAAAAAATAAAGGATTCTCCCTACCCTGCTTCCACCAAACTCTGCAAGTAAAGACCTGGGCGTCTGACTTTGCCAGCTCATGTTGTCTGCGGTCCCTGGACCTTTGCTGAAGCAGCTTCGAGGTGAGCAGTGCCCAGCCTGTAAGGTACCCTGCTCAGCATCAACTGTGGGGCAGGAAAACAATTCCCTCTGCCATCTTAGGTTCTTTCAGCCAGTCTAAAGTTGAATCTTCCCATCGTAGCCACCTCAGAAGCTGAAAACTGCTTTTCCTTTGTCTTGTCATTTCTCTGCAGATTTCTGTTCTTTGTTGAAGATGCTAATATACCAGGGTTCTAAGTCACCTGCTTGAGTTACCTTTCACTGAGGTTTCTCCCATATGGTGTTCACTGCATGAGTTAACAAGCAGTTTTTCTCTTGTTAATCTTGGTTGCGGTTTGATCCCTGGCCCTGGTTGTTGTCATGCAGGAGGCAACCAACCAATGTCAATCGATGTTCTTTCTCATCCATGTTTCTCTCTCTCTTCCTCTCTCTCTAAATCAATAAAGAAAAAAAAAAAAAAAGAATACATCTAGCCCTGGCTAGTTGGTTGGAGTGTTGTCCCAATAGGCCAAGGTTCTGGGTTCGATCCCTGGTCGGGGCACACACAAGAATCAACCAATGAATGCATAAGTGTAACAACAAATCAACGTTTCTTTCTGAAAGAAGAGAAGAGAAGAGAAGAGAAGAGAAGAGAAGAGAAGAGAAGAGAAAGAATCTAGAGCAGGAAGACAGGAAGCCTCACACAACTCTAACACCACCCTGTCAACAGAGGGATATCACCTTCCTGGATCAATGTTTCTCAAAATTCATCTCATCTTCCCTTCTTGAAGATAATCTAGTCCCACAAATATACCCTACGTTGCCAGACTTGTGCCCCTTTACTTTGACTAACTGCCTTCTAACATAGGGAGGAGAAGGTGTATCAATGGCTGGATGTTCTTTAGGTAAATAGATAACCTTGCAAACACCCTTCAATCTTCAGCCCGCTCAAAACTACATTTTGGGAAAACAGTACATAATGTGTAGCACAAGGCTACGAGGTCTTAGTCAAGGAACCTGAATCCCCACAGTGTGAAAAATGATCTATTCATACCCAAGAGAGCTACATTTTATTGGGAGGAGAAAAATATAAGCAACTTATTAACGGCTATCAAGCCCTTGCTTCCTACCCTTGGCCTAGAAAAGAATAGTCTTTCTCCTTTCCAATGGATTTCAAAGTAAAGTTGTGTGTGAGGTAGAATGGCATATATAATACTGAGTGTACTACCTACAGGAAGAACTGGGTTCTCTGGGTTAAGAGACAGACAACCAGGAAAGGGAATCTTAGTGGAAGGACAGGTTGAAGACAATCAATAGCTGAATGAGTTTTGAAAACTCACTAGAGAATTCAAGTAAATAAAAATGAAGTCTATAATCCCCAGGGCTCTGGAAGCTACTAGCAAGATGAAAGCCAAGCTACTGAAGGGTTTGGCTTATTTCATCAGAGAGCCACAGAGTAGTGCTGATAAAGGAACAACTCCTAGGAGAGATGTGATGCAACAGACCTGGGTAATAAGCTACATACCTGTTTGTTTGTGGGAGGTGGTAGAAAAATGAGGAGAGAAATAAAGTGGTACTTCTGAGGATTCCTTAGTCTATTATTTCTATACCAGGCAGGCCAACTACAAGGGGCCTTTCCGTAGACCTTAAGCTTGCTCCTGTCTATTTCACCAGCGTTGGCTTCCTCCTAATCTCTCACTCCTACTATAACCCTAAAAGGAAAGGAAAGAAATTCGAGATGCAATAGAAAGAAACCCATATAGATATGAGAATTTAATATCTCATGATAGAGGTGACATTTTATATCACTGACAAAGAGTCTTCTAATAATTAAATGGTACTGGGACAAATGAATATTCTTCTGGAAAAAAATAAGGTTAGATTCCCAATTCCTACTATTCATAATAATAAATTCCATATGGATAAAAGGTAAAAAATTAGAAATGTAATGAAAGTATTAAAAAAAATTACTGGTAACTATAGCTGCAGAGTACCAGCAGCTTTTTTAAAAAATTGATTTGAGAGAGTGAGGAAGGGAGAGAAAAATGTTGACCAGTTGCCTTCTGTACACTCCCTGACTGGGGACTGAACCCACAATCTGGGCATGTGCCCCGAACCAAGCGACCTTTCTGTGCATGGGACCATGCTCAACCAACTGAGCCACACCAGCAAGGGTATCAGCATCTTTTTTCTTTCTCTCTTTTTTGGTGGCAGCCCCAAAGGAAAAAAAATACACATACATACACATTTTTTTTTAAAGAAAAAAATGTTCTTATTGATTTTTTAGAGAGAGGAAGGGAGATAGAAATATCAATGTGAGAGAGACACATGGGTTGGCTACCTCCTGCATGACCCCCACTGGGGATCAAGCCTGCAACGTGGGCACATGCCCCGACCAGAAATTGAACTGGGACCTCTCAGTCCATGTGGCAACATTCAATCCACAGAGCCACACCAACCGGGCGGAAAATATTAGATGGCATATGGGAGATGCAAAATATATATACATATACATTTTTTTATCCTCACCCAAGGATATTTTTTCTACTTATCATCATATAGAGAGGTAGGGAGGGAGAGAGAAACATCAATGCAATAGAGACACATCGACTGGCTGCCTCCCACATGACCCAACCAGGGCCACAACCAAGGCATGTGCCCTTGACGGGAATCGAACCCACAACTCTTCGGTCTGCAGGCTGGCGCTCTAACCGCTGAGCCAAACCAGCCAGGGGCAGAATATATATATTTTTGAGACCAACTGCCTCCCCTAAGGAGTGTTAAAGATAGAAAAAATTTCTAAGAAAAGAGTAAACTGGACTTGGGGAAGGCAAAGTAAGGGTTTTCTCTTGACATAGATTAGGTGCCATCATTGCTGCTGCTCACTAAATCTGCTACTAAGTAGGAATCCTTTTCTTCAAGCCTTGAGTTTGTTTCTAGACCTCCTACAAGGGAGTCCTTAGCACAGGATGGTATCCTGTTTTGACAAGTCATTATTAGATTTAAGAGAGGGGTTCTTGGTGAAAGGGAAAAAAGCCTCAATTGCAAATGATGAGAACAATGTTTATTTGCCCAGATGTTGCTATAGCAGCAGGAAGGCGATGGGGTCAGTGATGGAATTCTTCAGATAGAAGGGAAGCATGAATGTCATTCTAGTTGGAAAGACAGGTGTACGGCTTGAAGACTAGGCTGAGGGAAGTAGACATGGTGTTCTCAAAGGAAGAAAGCAATGAGATCTAGTTAACTTACATCTGTGCCACCGGTTCTCTAACCCTGCCACACTGTGGTATGTCTCATTAGGATCTCACCCACAACCCTGGAAATAATGCAGCTCCCTATTTCAATATGGGCCCATAAGAAACTTGGCCAGGACTGAAGCAGTGTTCTCCAAATTTGGAAGTAGGAACTCTGGGGGAAATTTTTGCAGACTAGTAGAAACTATGGCTGTGGAGTGCCCAACAGCGCTAAGAGAGCAAGTGGGTGGCTTTTTTTTTTATCCTCACCCGAAGACATTTTCCCATTTTTTTTGTTCAGACAGAGCGGGAGGGAGAGAGGAAGAAAGAGAGAGAGAAATATCAACGTGAAAGGGACACACTGAGTGGCTGCCACCCGCATGACCCAACAAGAGCCAGGGACAAACTGCAACCGAGGTACATGCCCTTAGTGGGAACCAAACCCGGGTCTCTCTGGACCGCAGGCTGATGCTCTAACTGCTGAGCCAACCCGGCCAGGGCAGCAAGTGGGTAGCTTTAAAGAGCCATCTGAGAGGGGCTTTCCTCTGGGCCTGCTCTCCTCCTATACTGGAAGAGCTGGTGTGGCATCAGTGGCAGGCAAAGTACTATGCAAATTGAAATAACCATTTGGTAATGTTGTTGCTCACATCTTAAAGACTAGGGGAGGGTTATAGAAATAGCAGGATCCTTTCAGACAATATAAAAGATCCCAAACCTGTCTTGTGTATTAAGGCAACAGATACTCATCTGATGAGAAATTGAAACATTGTGCTTCCTTAAGTTCTAGGGGTGGGAAACTTGAATGTCTTCAAGTATTCACATATTACACCTTTAAAAAATTTTGTTGAGCTCAGCCAGTGTGGCTCAGTGGCTTAAGCAATGTCCCATGCATTGAGAGGTTGCTGGTTCGATCCCCAGTAATGTGGGGTGTAGGAGGCAGTTAGCTGATGTTTCTCTCTCATTGATGTTTCTATCTCGCCCCCTCTCTTCCTTCCTATCTAAAAATAAATCAATAAAAATATATTTATTTATTTTTAATCCTCACCCAAGGATATTTTTTTCCATTTATCTTCAGATAGAGTAGGAGGGAGAGAGAGAAAAAGAGAGAGAAAGAAACATCGATGAGAGAGAGATACATCAACTGGTTGCCTTCTGCTCAACCCCAACCAGGACTGGGGACGAACCACAACTGTGGTACGTGCTCTTGACTGGAATTGAACCCGTGACTCTTTGGTCCTTGGGTTGATGCTCTAACCGCTGAGTCAAACTGGCTAGGGCAATAAAAATATATTTATTTAAAAAAAAAATTTGTTGACGTTGTCAAGGGTAGGAAATTACTGAGAAGCCATTTTACTGTCTCTGGTAGACTCCCCACCAGACACAAAAAGAAGACTGAGATCTGATTCCATATCTGAACCATTTCGCTAGAAAGATCTGGAATCTACATGTAAAGGGCAATAGTAAAAAAATAAAATAAAAATAAAAATCAATAGACCTAGATGGTTTCCCTCTTTATTCTGGCACATGGGAAGTACCAGACCCCAAAACCCCTAGGCACCTTCATCTTCTTGGCATGGAGTTTCTCCTCTTTCAGGTGCTCACGAAGAATCTCCCGATGGTTCACCTCTTGCTCTTGAGCAAACTCACAGAGTGTGTAGCTGCGTACAGAGTTATGACGCTGGGCCATGCCCAGAGAGCTACCACCCTGGCTGGGCACACTGGTGAAACCCTGGCGCCGGGCAAAGTAGTACACAGTCACCTGGTCAAAGCGTACATTCTTCCTCCGTAGCTGCTTCTGCCGCTTCAGGATGGAGGTGGCTGAGAAGGGAGCACAGAGCAGTTTTATTAACCCAGAGATGGCCTATTTGGGGACCTCATTCTTTTTCATCCATCTAGTCTCTCAACTCTTCTACCAAAGGTGCTCCCTGTACCTAGAGACATTTCAAATTGTCAAATCATAAATGCATAGTTGAAAGGGACCTTGATCATCAGTTGGACCACAGCACTGCCTCCGACTAACTTGACCCACGTAGACCACAAAGTCTACTTTTTTTGTTAATCCTCAGAAGGGTATTTTTCCATTTTTTTTTAGAAAGAGTGGAAGGGAGGGAGGAAGGGAGGGAAGAATGGAGGGAGGGAGAAAGAGAGAGAAACATCGATGTGAGAGAGACACATCAATTGGCTGCCTCCCCAATGACCCTGACCAGGGGTGGGAATCAAACCTGCAACACAGGTATGTGCCCTTGACCAGAATCAAACCAGGGACCCTTCAGTCTGAGGGCCGATGCTCTAACTGCTGAGACAAACCGGCCAGGGCACAAAGTCTATTTTTAGACATCAGATGGGAAGAGGATCTCTAGGTAATCTTCTCAGGATAAAACAACCTATATAGCTTCATTGTCCAACACAGCAGCTACTAGTCACACATGTCGATTTAAATGTAAGTTAATTAAAATGAAATAACATTTACAACTCAGCTCCTCAGTTACATTAATCTCATTTCAAGTGTTCAATAGCCACATATGGCTAATGGCTGCCATAGTGGACAATGAAGATATAGAACATTTCTTTCATAACAGAAAATTCTATTAGACAGTGTTATATAATGCGATAGCAAACTTCTTCTATAAAGGACCAAGCATTATGTATTTTAGGTTTTGTAGGTCATCAGGGCTCTGTTGTAACTACTCAACTCTGCCATTGTAGCATGAAAGCTACATAGACAATGTGTTTGGCTGTGTTCCAATAAAACTTTATTTACAAAAGCAGGCAGTGAGCCAGATTTGGCCCAGAGGCAACCCCTGACCTATAATATCAGAAGTTGTTTCCAAGAAACTAATTGAGCCAAGAGAACTAAGAAATCTGGAGTTGTTTCAGTTGTCCAAGCAATATGGATTTATGTCCTGCTAGAGCTACAATACCACAGAACTCTATGGGATTCTGGTGGGGAAGGGTCACATCTTGGACTCCTCTCCTCCTTCAATTTAATTCAACCCATTCCAGGGACCCACAAACCAAGCACAAGTAAAATTAGCTAGAATAAATCAGACTCAAGTCTATAATATTAGAACAGTGAGGTCTTCCAAAGAGCAAGGCTGAGCTAAGAGTGGGAAAGATTATGATTAAGAGAAAATCCCCAAGCTGGTTAGAAGAAGCTGTCCAAGAGCTGCAATGGGCTCTGATGCTTAGGGGTCATGGGTGAATGCGGGAGGGAGTGGCTCACTCACGTGTGAAGCTGGCAGTTGTAGGAGGATTGAGGCTGTCGCAGCTGTCAGCACTGTCACTGCTGGAGATCTCATCATCTGAGTTGGACACTGATGAGCCCACATCCACATCATCAAATTTCCTCTTGAGCCCCGAGCCCGTGAATGCATCCATTGGTTTCAAAGGGGTTTCCTTGGGGAGCCCACCGCGTTGGCCCCAAAGCCCCAGGCTCACCACCAGCTAGCCAGTTGCATTAGGAGTCTGACCAGGGGAAAAGAGGAATCAGCATTCCTGTCCAAAGACAGACCCCTCCCAAGTCTAAAAATAAAGCTCTTCAACTGAAGACAGCAAGCACCTGAACTAGCACTGATTTCTGGTCTCTCCTGATTAGGTCATTTCTCTACTGATTCCGGCCAACATTCTACTTTTGTTTCCCTTCAGCCCCTCCAGTCTCAGTCACTCTCAGAATAATGAGATGAGTAACCGCAGCACCTTTCCCAGCAGTGTGAAAGCCTTTGGTTCCAAGCCAGCTGGGCTCTAGGCTTCATTAGCAGGGGGATAACAGAAGCTGCTCTTCTGATCACACAGGAAAGCTCTCCAAGGGGCTGGTAGGAGGGACTAGGGATCAAAAGCAGAATTAGGCTGTGCCTAAACCTAGACTAGATCCAATTATTTTTCCTAGTGAAGATATAGCCTGGCATTTCCCAAAGTGTATATATGAAATAAACTAATTCAATGGATATTAATAGCTTTTACATAGAAATAGGACTGCTGTGTCAAAACAGTTTAGAAAACTGCTTATGGGAGGACTTCTCAGAGGCTTTTAATATGCTAATGAGCAAGGGGAAGAATGGGAGAAAACAGAAGGCAGTGTTTCACACACCTGATTATGGAACCCTTTGTTTTCCAGAGTATTTTAGGGGGCAAATATTTCTTGGAACACACTTTGGGAAATAGTGCTTCAGGCTCTCAATTGCAAAGTACATCAGCAGCCAGAGAAACGCTTTACCCAGATCTTCACAAATATAAAGTGTCTCTCCAGGCTCCCAGAAAGGTCAAATTTGGTTCTAAAGAATGAACTGAAGATTAGAATCTGCACTGGCTTCAAAACCCAGAATCTTTCCCAATCTCATACTGCTCCATAAAATAGTGCTCCGCTGGTCTATCATCTTCCTCTGTGCAAGGAAAACTTAGCTTTACCACCTTTGCCCTCTGTAAAGAAATCAACAAGGAGAAAACAGAAGTGACAATGTACTCTGGTTACATCAATATGGCAGGCAGTGTCTTCAACAAGCTGTCACACAACCAAGGAGTCTGGGATACAAATCTCTCCTCTGTCTTTGGACTTTAGTTCCCAAGGATATGAATCTGCCCGACAGAAATGCTGTCAGGGCCAGAGCCACATGTGATGATACGAAGCCTCCCTGCTTTGCCTCAGTAATGCCAGAATCTTCCCAGACTATGATCTCACTAGTTGCTAATTATGCAGCAGGAATAACAACACTGCCCAGAAAGACAAGGCTGCATTACTGCAGAGCAGCTACCCAGAACATACTGTGGTGTCAAGAGATGCCTGCTACAGAGCTGTTTTTCGGAACCGTGTCTTGGGAGCAATTTACCTGCTCTAGCAGATCTAATAAATACTTTAGAAACGATATTTCCAAATCTATCAGATCTCATCAAAATTCTGCCTTTTTAAAATCACAAAATGGACCTAAGAAACCTCAGCCATATAGGTCTCAGACAGGCACATCCCTAAAATAAATTTGGCGGAGGAAAAAAAATAATCATGTACTTGATAAGAATTGTAATTAAATTTTAAAATGAATCCAAAGTATCAGTTCTATTCTTCAGGTTACTATTGCTTGCCATCAGAGGTCACACATTCCTAGGACATGGTAAGAATGGAGAGAGCCAAGGTCTTTTCATGGGTTAAGAATATTGCTGGTGCCCAGCTGGTGTGACTCAGTGGTTGAGCACTGACCCATGCACCCAGAGGTCACCGGTTTGATTCCTTGTCAGGGCAAATGTCCAGGTTGTGGGCCCGATTCCCAGTCGGGGCATGTAAGAGGCAGCCAATGGATGTTCTCTCTCATTGATGTTTCTCTCTCCCTTCCTTTCTCTCTAAAATCAATAAAGAGAATAAAAAATCAATAAAGAAAAAAAAAACAGGATACTGCTGGGCCCAGCCAATGTGGCTCAGTGGATTGAGCATCATCCCATGGACTGAGAGGTCCTAGTTCGATTCCCATTCAGGGCATATGCCCGGGTTTTGGGCTTGATCCCCAGTAGGAGGAGTGCAGGAGGCAGCTGATTGATGTTTCTCCTTCCAATATTTTTCTTTCTTTTTTTTTTCTTTATTGATTTTAGAGAAAGAGAGAGGAAGGGAGAGGGAGAGACAGAAACATCGATGACAGAGAACACCGACTGGCCGCCTCCTGCATGCCCCCACTGGGGATCGGGCCCACAAACTGGGCATGTGCCCTGACTGGGAATCAAACCAGCAACCTCTTGGTGCATGGGTCAACGCTCAACCACTAAGCCACACCAGCCGGGCTCTCTCTCTGATATTTCTATCTGTCCCTTCCTTTCTAAAATGGTCAATAAAAACATATTAAAAATATATATATATACACATATAATATATAGATAGATAAATAGATATGCTATAACTTCAACAGTACCTATAAGAAAAGTATCTTATTAAAATGGAAAAAAAAAAAAACACACCAAAATAAATAAATGAAAGAATACTGCTGAGTTTAAAGATATCTATTAACTAACAAATTTCTCATTCCATTCTGTTATGAGGGTAAGGAAGAAACCTTTGCAACTGAGTACTTATGTAGGTGGGATTTTAAAAAAAAGCTCTGGCCAGTTTGGCTTAGTGGTAGAGCGTTGGCCCTCAAACCAACGAGGCACATACCTCAGTTGCGGTTCGTCCCCAGCCCTGGTTGGGGTCATGCAGGAGGCATCCAGTTGATGGGTCTCTCTCATGTCAATGTCTTTCTCTCTCTCCCCCTCCCTCCACTTCCCACTCTATCTGAAGACAGAAATGGAAAAAAGTATCCTCCAGTGAGGATTAAAAGATAAATAAAATAGCCCTGGCAGGTTTGGCTCAGCGGTTGGAGCATCTGCCTGCGGACCAGAGAGTCCTGGGTTCGGTTCCCGCTAAGGGCACATGCCTCAGTTGCAGTTTGTCCCCAGACCTGCTTGGGTCATGCAGGTGGCAACCACTCGATGTGTCCCTTTCACGTCGATGTTCCTCTCTCTCTCTCCCCCTCCCACTCTATCTAAACAAAAAATGGAAAAATGTCCTCGGGTGAGGATAAAAAAAAGAGAGAGAGAGAGAGAAAATAATGTTGACCACTGAATTTAAAATTCCCTCCTCACTTAAAACCTTATCAATCACATGAAAACTCAGACTGTGCTGAAAATCTGCTTTCTCAGAAATGGTGTAAGTCCAGCTTCAGTTTTAACGGAGATACAGCTGGTATTGCTACTAGGAAAGTGGCCCTTTCTTCAGCCTGGAATTACTCAGGGATTTATGACTGGAAGTGAATGTGCACTTCTGGTTCTTTCCTGGGTGTCCTTTTGCTTCTTGGTAGTGTGGAATCCCTTTGAATGTTTCTCTTTAAGCCCTGCATGACATTGGGTACAGTGGTCCAGATCATCTTTATGATCAAAATTCTCCACTGTCTTCACCAGATGCCCTCAGGGATATCATTTGTGTTAGGTTAATTTTTGTGCACTCTGGTACAGCAAGAATGGCTAGCTGCTTGTTCCATTCTCCTTTGCCCTTTTATCTATGTCTTCCCCACTTCCATTTTTGTAATAGTGTTTTCTGGGCAATGACAGAAGGTAGGTAAAAAAGAAAAAGAAAAAAAAAAGTCTAAGAATAATCTATGACCACATTACTGAGTATACTGACAGCTCTCTTCACCCTACTCAGGATCTGTTAGCAACACATTCTCTGACATTAACTCCATTATTTAAAAAGAAAAAAAAAAAAAAATTCTGTCCTGACAACCAATGTAAGTTTAAATTTCAACCCAGCTCTCCCTGTCCACCTCTCTGGTGTGAATTCAAGTTGTTAGATAAAGATGTTCACTGGGCACCAAGAACAAAACTCCCATCCACTTCTGCAGTGACCTAAGATTTTGCTTTGTATCAGCAACAATTAAAATAGGCTCCACATTTTCCAATTTATCAAATCAACCTCCTTTCAAACCACAATTAGAAACCAGTCGTTCCCACGTCTCAACGGGCAGAAGATCACTGCCTGTGTTCAAGAGAAACACTTATAGTTATGCTCCCAGCAGTTAAACCCATAGAGAAATAATCAAGGTGAGACTGGCAATGCAGGCCATAACTGACAGTTAACTGTCAAAATGAGCAACTCAACAAATGCTTTTGAGAAAAAAATGCAAACCTCTATAAAAGCTTTAAAATACCAGTGAAATGAAAGGTCAACTGACACTTTCTGGTGACATGCTTTACGGTCTTTTCTCAAGTGTTTCTAGCTGAACATTTCCCAAAGGTATCCACAGTATGTATTAGATATTTGGCTAGCACCAAAAAAATAGATCTACAGCACATGTGCATTTTAGTGAGAGGGATCCCATACCCCGTCCCTGCCAAATTTTGTGGATGCAGAATGTATTTTCAAAGTTTGGGTAATTAAGGCCTCTCTCTTAAATGAATCCAAAATAATAAGACAAGGTACATCTCACAGGAGAAAGCCTCTCCGCTCAACTGGAACCCAACCTTCTGCTAAGGGTCAAGGGACCAAAATCTCTAGTAAGATCATCAGGGCTACCATCTGTATCTAGGTTAGAGGAAGAAAGGCTTGCTAAGTGTTATGATAAACCTGAATAAGATAACCTGTCCTATTTCTGCTTTTACAATATAGTGTGGTTAATTCTCAAATACTATGAATTTTGTAGACGTGTCCTTGTGATTACCAGGATCATGAACTTTTAAAGCACTCAGGTGAAAACATCCTTTAAACTAGGTATTTCAAGGAAGTACCCCTCTAACACTCACTCCACGGTGTTTACTGATTCACTGACACAAGGTTAGAATTTGGCTTTCCATGTCTAAACTACCATCATATGGAGGATACAAGATCTTTGTGGAAGACCTGGAACATGATGCTGTAGGGACCATTAACTCTCAAGGATATCCTGTCATTTATAACTCTGGCACACACCAATATCCTCCTGGCTTTGGAGATTTGCAAGATGGAAAGTCAGTACAGAAAAGGAAAATTTCAATCAACTGAAAACTGTAGGACAAGGGGACACTGTGTCTCTTGGGGATAACTTCTAACATTTCATATTGAAGAACGTTTTGTGTGTCACAATACCACTCTAAATGCCCTTAAAACGATGAATTAAGACCATGGCACTAAAAGGGATGAATGGCAGTAGGCTGCGTGTTTGGGCCTGTGAAAAAGATCAAGCTAGCAACCAGGGCAAGTGATGCTTTCGTTTTCCCACACAACGCCAGAAAAAGGGGAGACACATCAGGAACCTGAGCTGAAAGGACATGTCAAGTCATCAGTTCCCCTTAATGGACAGTCCCACTGAATCCTCCTGCTCCCGGCCCATTTCTTTCGGTTAACCTTCCCGCTCATTCTTATCTTCTGCAGCCCCTACCTAACCTTCCCATCCCTTCCTGCCTGCTACTCACAAATTCCAAACCACTCCTCCCACATTTTCCTCTATTTCCCCCTCCCCTTCCTTCACTTCCCTCCATCCTACATCATCTCCACTCCATTCCGAACTCAACCCTCATCTGCAATCATGCCGGCTTCCAAGCCCATCAGTCTCCCCGAGCTGGCCCCGCAGTCCGGCCCGCGATCTCCGCGCCGATCTCTCCCACGCCTCTCCCTACTCTTCCCCTTCCAGCGGCGCCTTAGCTCCCCGCCCCCCGACCACTCCCGTCCGAGCCTCCCTCATTTCTGACCCCTCCATCCGCGCGGCTCGGGGCTGACCACTCCTCCACCGCCGCTTGAAGGCCGATCCCGAGAAAGGACCAAGCTGCACCCTCCGCCCCGCACCCCCAGGCCCATTACCGGCCCCGCCGCAGCTGCCTCCTCCCGAGATGGTCTCTGCCGCCCCCGCTGCCGCCGCCGCCGCCCTAGCCCGATAGTAAGGAGGGAGAAGAGTGCGAGTCCCGGGACCGCGGCGATGGTCCGGGAGTTCCCAGGGCGACAGGACGGGAAGGGAGGGTGGGTGGGCAGGTCGGCCGGCAGGCGGCACAAGGCGGACGGCTCCGGCAACTCGGGCGCCCCCGGTAGCAGCAGCCCAGAACCGCCCCGGCTCCGGCTAACAATAGGCTTCGGCCGCAGCGCTCTGGCTCTTATAGGCGCCGGCACGTCCGGACCGAGCCCCGGGGCAGGCTGGGAAATGGAGTCTACGTACAGGCCCCACGCCCAGCGGCATGCTGGGAGTTGGAGGCGGCGACGGGCGCAAAGCCGAAACTCTCCAAGCAAAGTCTCAGGAGGCGATGTCCCCGTTGCAGAGGACCCTGGGAAAGCGAGTTTGGCGCCACTGCAGCCTTTTGAAGAGCGGGGACACTCAGCTACATATCTTCAATGACTAAACGAATCCCCCTCTAACACTACCCTTTTTCTTTCGACAGGACCACATTCCCATGCCTATAAAAGAACAATATCCTCCTTAGCTCACCCATGGGATGTCCTAGTTTTAAGCGGCATGACGTGCTGCAGCCTGCCCAAGGTATAGAGAAGAAAATACAAGCGAAGTATTGGGTTATCTCAATATGTATTGTGGGAATGATTTATGTTTTCCTTCAGAGATATTTTTACATGATCATTGATCTTCACAACTTTGTAATCCATTTTCAAGATGGTAAAAACAAAGGCAAAAGTTAAAAGTTACCCGTCATTTGCCAAGGACACCCTGCCTTGATTTCCTATCTCATTCAGAATAGTACATGTTTCTTTCTTGGCCAATAAGGCACTATAAGAGATAGGAGCATTCTTTCACCCCCCTCACCCTATGTCATCTTATT